GGGTCCGCGTGCCCGCAGGAAAGCCAGACGCAATGTCAACTGCCTGGCACACATGCGAATGTGTGTGGGCATATGTGTGTGTATGTATGTATATGTGTGTTAATTGTGCAGCAGCAAACAAAAGTTTTATTTTTATTGCTAACCGCAACGCTTAAAAGTATAAAGTGCTTTTATTATTGGCATTTTCAGATTGTTTGCTGCACAATATGCAGCAAGGGTAGTCTGAGTGCCCCGGCTGGAGCAGTGGAGCATCATTAATAACCAGAACATGAAACTTTCGCCCAGCCACTTGATCGATATTCGTAATCTCACTTTACATTTGCGCACAACTACGCACATGAACGCACCTGCCACCCACACACTCTCACACTCACACACACACACACACCCACACACACACTCTTAAAAGTCTTGTCGAGCTTCATTGTCTCTGCTGTGCGACGTCCGTGTCCAAGCGGTCCAACTAAGCGGAAGCTGTTGGAATTTACCAACGTTTAAACTTTAATGCTGTGTACAAGAGTACTTTTTATTGTTGTCCTGCTTTGCTGTGTGTGTGTGTGTGTGTGTGTGCCTGCTCTTGTCTCTTCGTTTTCCTCTTTCACTTTTTTGTTGTCATTCGCTTTACCTAGCCACCTAGGTCCCTCGGCCGTTGGGCTTTCAATTTCTTCTTCTTCTTCTTCTCCTTTTTTTTTTTTTTTGTACTGCATGTCCTCTGCCTGGCTGCCCGCTCCAATTGAACCTAATCCGGCTGCTAAAGTATTAGCTTCGTAGTTGTATGCTCATCCCGGCTGTCCAAACTGCCTTATGCTGCTTTTGTTGTTTGCTGGCATTTAAAAAACAAAAAGCATCGACTCACTCCAGTCCCGGCCGGAGGTAGCCAACAGCGCACCAGCTATGGCCAGCTGGAGGTCTGTAAAAACTTTTGCCTCTGTCTGAGCATCTGCAGTCATAGCTGTCCCCTCACTTAATAACAAGGCGACAGTCACTCTATGTGTATGTGAGTATGAGAGTGTGTGTGTGTGTGTGTATGTCACCCTGTCGGTTGCAGAAAATGAACGACAGTTACTTGGCCCTTGCAAACGACGAGCATACTAATCTGTCTCCTCCTCCGCCTCCGCCTGCTCCGCCTGCTCCTCCTGCTTCAACTCGGCCCTCCCTCGGTCGTCATGTTTTCCGTACAGCACGTAAATGAAGTAAATGAGCGAGAACTCCGATCATTGTGTTTGGCAATGAGGCGCTTATAGGAGCTCTCGGATTTTGCTTTGTTGCATCAGTACATAGCGAAATACATATATATATCATCCATCTATGTTTAATATATGTAGCTCATCTGTAAAGCAGGTAGCGCAGAGACACTCGTGACAGTCGATATCAATGAATGCCACTCACAGTTGCTGCTAAAAAATTAAAACACTATGCGACAGATCTGATCTGACAGGATGTGATGGCAAGTGTCAGGTGAGCGCGCTTGGGTTTACAGAGCCGTCAACATGCCGTATGATTGATTTTCTAGTCATAAACCAAGCAGGTCAGTCAGAGCAACAGCAGTAGCAGCAGCAGGAGCAGCAGCAGGAGCTGGAGCAGCAGGAGTGGCAGGTTCACATGAAACTGTAAACTGAACGTGACCAGATAAATGCGGCAAATATTAAACGGAGAGCGTAAGCTTCAATAATAATAAAAGTTATAAATCTTAGCATTGGCTGTCGCCGCTCCGGATGAGAATCAGCTGAAGCATGAGAGGATGTGGCCATTCAGAAAGGGCACAGAAGGCGACGACGAGGACATGCTGCAGCGTGGCGATAATAACAATTTATTGCACGCACACAAACAACCCCAAACACACACACACACACAGACGGACAGACACACTCATGTGTAGCGCTGCCAAGTGCCGGAAAATGCCGCGAGACACAATTGCAACAAGAACAACAGCCACAGCAGGAGTAGCAGGAGCAGACAGTGCAAAGCAAAGCAGTGGGTGGAGCTGGGCAGCCAGACGGGCATAAAAACCACACAATAATAAAAATGAACAATGACAGGTTAATAGCAAATAAATGAAAGCCCATAAGAAAAAGCGCAACAACAGCAAAATAAAACAGAGAGCGAGAGAGAGAGAGAGAGAGTGTGTGTGAAAGAGAGTTGCGATAATGGCCAAGAGCTGAGCTGAGCTGACCAAGGAGTGCATCAAGTTGCTTGAGAACAAACTTATTCGCTCAGTGTAGGCCATTGATATATGGTTTTCAATTTTCAAAACCATTGACCACTTACAACAACAGCAACAACAACAACAATGATGATGATGATGATGACAGCAACAACAACAATAGCGCCCAGCTAAATGGTGGAAAAATGTCTGAGGAAAATGGCCACGAGGCGCCACAAGTGGATGCTGGCATATTTAAAGCATAGCCACGCACGTAAGCGACTCGTTAGAGCCGAGCCAGGGCAGCCAGAGTAGTCAGGGCCGATTGTCTGGCTAATGGCCGCAATCGTACTTAACAGCTTCACATAACGGCAATAATGGCCAACGACGGCTTGGCAGCGACCCGGACTGCACTGACTGGCTCAACGGTAAACAGGTTGACAAAATACATTGGCGAATGCGCCGAGTGCCCTGAATAATTGTCATCAGCATTACAATTACACAGGTGTGTCTATATGTGTATATGTGTGTGTGTGTAAGCAGATAACTGCAATCAATAATCAATCGGACTGGACGAATGCTCATGATAATATCTAAGTATATATATAATGAAGTATAAAATCTTATCTTAGTTTTAAATATGAGAACTCTTTAAGAAGTATGTCAAGAGATCATTAATTTTCATCTTAGAGATAACAAGAAATATAAAATTAATAAATTTATTTATAAAAATTTTAAATTTAAAACTAATCTAAGGATAAACTACTGTCAACTGAGGCCTTGACCTCGGCTTAAGAAGCCATCAAACCAGGCGAGCTGAGTTATTTTATTCTAAATAAAATAATAAATAATTCAGCCTGTTTTCTCAGATATTACGAACTTAAATTAATCAGAATTTATAATTTAAATATCAATTATGCTTTAATTCATTGAAATTCAGCTGCACCCAACATAAATGTTTTATATTTTTGCATTTAATACAAATTTATATAGTTTGAAATTTAATGTCACATAAATGAATATATAAAATAACAATAGATATTCATTTGCATACACAATAAATTCAAATTTATGCGCACTTTTTGCTGCAAGCAAATAAAAAAAAAGAAAAAATAATAAATAGAAAATCATTCATTATATTTATTGAAAATATATATCATAAGTTTATTTTTATTTTATAAATTTTGCAATTGAAGTAAATTTATTCGGTGCAAGAATGCCGAGAGTTGTTTAAATTTTAAATTTTGGCAAATGGCCTTAAAGAGACAGAGATTGAGAGAGAGAGGGAGTAGGTGTGAAAAATCGATCACCTGCTTAAAGTTGAGACGCCCACGAGACGCAGCAGCACTAGCAGCAGCAGCAGCAACAGCGGCAACAATGGCGGCTACTTGGCAGCTGTGCCAGCGCCTGGGCGAACGCATCTGTCAACGTCCTTAGAGTTTAACAAAGAAGGACACTGCGAGTGCACATAGGGAGAGCCAGACACCGGGCCACTTTATAAGCCAAATTTAACGCTTGCTCGTTGTTACTGTGGCCGTTGCTGTTGCTGCTGTTGCTGCTGTTGCTGTTGTCGTTTGCAATACGCTTTGTCTGTTTGCTTTGTGGAAGGACAAGCATGACGACAACTGCTGCTGCTGCTGCTGCTGCTTTTAGTCGCCCCTTTTCCTCTCACTCGCTTTTTGGCAATGCGCCTGTGGATCTTACAACGAATTCAATTGAAAATTTCAGCAGACACTCGACGGGGAACGAGCATTGCAAATTTCAAAACAAATTTGCCGCAACGCAACAGCAGCCAAAGTTTTTGCAGAGAAGTTGAAACTTTGATTCGATTCGATTCGATTCCCTTCGATTTTCAATTCTCAATACTTTGGCTAGTCTCTGGGAGGCCACGCCCCTCGCCTCCCTTCTGCTCGTCTGGTCAAGTGCGGACGTACGTTTAAGTGTTACGTATGCGTCACGTTGTCCAATGCACTTCAACTGGGCTCAATTGGCAGCGTCTCGTCTACATCTTGGTGCCCGTCTCCTGCTCCGTCTGGCTGGTTGTCTGAGGGGCTCAGTGTGCAGCTGTTTGCTTAGTGCAGTTTTCACTTTGTGGGCGTTACACACAAAAAAATAACAAACAGCCGCGCACACCGCACACCGCCCCCCGCCCTAGTACTGAGCCAGAGTCCTGCTCCGGCAGACTTTCTTGTGATATTTACTTTTGCCTTCCACACAGCCAGACTTGACGTTAGTTTTGTTTGCTTCCCTGTGTGTGTGTGTGTGTGTGTGTGTGTGTGTTTACCTTTCGTTTAGCAATGGCTATGACAAAATCAAAAGCAAATCGCTGAGCCAATGCCAAAGTGGAAATTGTCAATAATTTCAAATTGATTTCTATTTGATTTAACACAACAACAACACCAAAGACAATCGAATGAAAGCAAACACCTAGCAATGGGCACTATAATTGCACCAACACCCATATCAAAATACCTATTTCAGTTTAGTTTAGTTTAGTTTAGCTCGACTTAAGTCTCTTGGCTGGCGAAAGTGAAGAAGTGAAAGTTTGACGGCCCAAATGGCATTAGACAGCTAGCCATTACGGGCTTGGCCAGCTTTTACGAGGCATCATAAAAAGCGTTACTCGAACTGCGCCTGTCTCGTAAAACTCGTGAAATTCCGGGGCTGCCAGCAATAAAGGCAAATCGATAAGTGGGCCCAAAGTGTTGGAATCGCTCGTAAAGTAATCGAAACGGAGCGGGAGCAGGAGCAGGAGCAGGAGCAAGGCAATCAGTTCGCTGGACTTAATGTACTTTGGAATTATACGCTAATCATATTTGTAATTCTTATTCTATTCATGGCATAAAGTGATTCTTACCCTGCTTGGGCGACACGCTAAGCACCTGCTGCGGCGACTGTTGCTGCGAGTGAATTTGGTATTGCTGTTGCTGTTGCTGCTGCTGCTGTTGCTGCTGTTGTTGCTGCTGCTGCTGTTGCACGGCCACCGCCTGCTGCTGGGCGGCACAGACGGCAGCGGCCACGGCTGCTTGCTGCTGCTGCTGATGATGAGCGGCTGCGGCGGCGGCTGCTGCTGCTGCGGCGACTGCCTGCTGCTGCGACTGCTGCTGGTGCGGCGACTGGGACTGCGGATGCTGCTGCTGCTGAGTCGTAACAATGGACATTTGCTGAGACGATTGCTGCTGCTTAACATTGACCTGGTGCTGGGCCTGCTGCTGCTGCTGCTGCTGCTGTGCCGGAGCCTGCTGCTGCTGCTGCTGCAGATGCGTCTGGTGTATGGCCAGCAGCTTCGTCTCGTACGGCTTGGCCCCAACCGACAGCGGCTGACTGCTGAGCGTCATCTGTGCTGTTGCTGGCATCATTAGTGTGGGCATTGCCAACATTTTTTCGATTGCTGCTGTAGCTGTTGCTGCTGCTCCTACTGCTCCTGCTGCTGCTGCTGCTTCTGTTATTTGTGTTGCTGCCGCTGTGGCTGTTGCTGTTGCACGTTTTGCGGTTTAACGCAACTCGCTTTGATGTTTAATGAAGTGCCGCCTCACAGTTGATGTGTATCATCAAATCGTGTTAAAATTATTTTCGGGGCATACGTTTGTTTTTTATTTTAAATATATTTATCTTGTTTTGTTGTTTGTTTTTAGCTTTTTTGCCTTTGTTGTTGTCGTTTATTTTTATAGATTTTCGCGTGTTGTGTGAAACCGCACTTTTAATTGCTGTTGTTGCACGTTGTTGTTGTTGGTTTGCCTGTTCCTTTTTTGAATATTATACGGATATCATTTGGTGCGTTAAATGATTTCTACAATTTTACTAATTCCAAAAGTTTCTTTTGCGGTTTGTGCTCGCATTTATTTATTTGCCGACTGCCGTTTTGCTTTTGAAGTTTTTTTTTTTTTAATTTTTGTTATTTAATTTTGACTTCCCTTCACTTATCACAGACCAATAAGATATTTTTTGTTTTTTCTATAAGTTCTTGCGCTTTCCAATTTTTACTGGTTTAAAAAAAAGGGTTTTGAGTTGTAATATATATAAATATATATTAAAATATATTTATAAATACATGTACGAGCTTATTAATTTAAATATAGCTCATATTATGCTATAAACAAAAATAAATAGTAAAAAATTAATAAAAATATATATAAAAAAAAACATTAATAAATGTGTATAATTAAAACTTTTCTCAGCAAATTAACAATAGAAATATTTGTATTAAATTTTTGCTTGATTGTTTTTTTTTTTTTTTTTTTTTTTTTTTTATTAAAAAATATTTTGCATTTATACACTAATATAAAACGTGCGACTGAACCTCATTTAATAAATATCAAATTTATTTCTCCATATTTATTTAGCTAATCTGATTATTGGGGGCAACACTACAAAGTAACCCTTCTCTAAGGCCCCATCTGCTACGTGCTGCGTGCTTCAGAGTGCTAAGCCATCTTTTTCTTTTTTTTTTTTGGGTAATTGCAGTTTTTATGATTCGGTTTTATGATGTTCCTTAAGCACAAACATTACGTTCTGGGGCGCGGGCATTATCGTATATCAAGCCTAAGCCATTCACACATCATTTGAAAAATTAAATTTAATATTTTACGATTTGAGGCTGTGCACTGTGTGTGTGTGTGCGTGCGTTTGTGTGAGTATATACAAAGCAAAGCTTGAGCCAACAAAAAATAAAAATTATGCGCGTAACGCAATGCGAAACAGCAGCAGCAGCAAGAACAACACGAACAAAATTATAACAATAATAATAAAAGGCAGCTGAATGTAAGCGCTGCTTTTTATGCGAACGACGCGCGCCCGAGAGACAAAACAACAGAAGCCAAAAACGAGACACGAGAAACGAGAAACGAGAAACCAGAAAACACAAAACTCTTCAAACTCCAAAAATCGCACGCCCCAAGTGTTGGCAAGTGTCAGGATCAGGCGCTGCGACAGCCGCAGCTACAGAGCCACAGTCAGCGCCTCAGTCGGCGTTAACGTCAGTCTAACGCTTCCGGTTTTTATAGCGCAACGCGCACAAAGGCCCCAGACAGCGGAACAGAGCCGGAGGAGACGGACAAATGTTATGTATAAATATAAACTTATATTTTTATTTTTGAAAGCCAAAACACACACACACACACACATACAGAGTAGACGCTGTAAAAAGCAACGAGTGTATAACAAATGCCAAAAAAAAAAACAAGTGTACAATACACAGCATTCGTTGTCATCTAACTGAAATTTGTGTGTGTGTGTGTGTGTGTGTGTGTGTGTGTATGATTCATACACACAAATGCACTGGCCTTTTTATATGGCCGCGCTGTGTCGGCGGCTTTCGGCGTTGGCTGGCTGGCTGAAAGCATTTATTGGCTGCTCGTTGTCGGTTTATGTGCCACATAAGCCGAAGTGGCAGAATGTGTGCATGTATGTATCTTCGCATGCATGTGTCTGTGTGCATATTGTTGTTGTACATAATGTGTCCAAAAAAAAATGAAGAAGAAGAAGAAGAGAAAGGAAAGGCAAACACCGCAACACCAGCAGCAGCAGCAGCAGCACACATACAAGCAGACAAAAAGTCATTGTGTTCCTTGTAAATACAACTAAAATCGATGCGTACAACAATTTTTACGTTCATACTTTTCAGCAAATCGCACATAAAACATCAAGTATATGTATTTAACGGCACACTTTAGCACGTAAAAATGGAAATACATAAGCTTAAACTATGCTCATTCACAATCGGACAATACCAGAGTCTCACAGCACTTTGCCCCAAAAAGTATGCTACGAAAATTTTCAATTCGAATTTCACTTTTCAAGAGACTTAAAACAACACAAAATGAACTTGAAATGAAAATCGAAATTAAATGAAACCTAGCTTGAAAATAAAATACATTTCAGCCTTAAATTATCACATACAAAAATAAATTATAAAATTCTTTAACGATTAAAACTATTTACTTTTGTCTAAATTTTTTTCCAGTTTGATTTTTGTTTGATAATTTATTTTAGATTTTCGATTTTTTGTTTTGCAGTCGCTTTTGCTGTTTATTTTGTCGCGTCGTGAACTGCGTTTTGAGTTTATATTTTGATTTTCGGATTTTATTTTGTTGTTTTTACTTTGCGTTTGAATTTGCGTGTTGCAGTTGTTGCATTAATAGATGGGTGTTGTTATTTTGTTTTGTTTTTGTTTTTTGTTTTTGATTTTTTTTTTTTGGTTTTGGTTTTGGATGTTTTTTTTTTTTTTGTTGGTTTGTTTGGAAATTATAATAACAACTTAACAACAATGTAACGAATATCCTTTCTTTACGAGGACACAATTCAAACTGATTGCGAAGCGCGCTCGTCGTCCTCCCAAATAGTCAAAGACATTGTCCGCTGAGGCATACCGTTATTCTGCCGGCGTCGCTGTCGCGCTGCCTTCGCTCCGAGTCCGGCACGCACACGAATCGCCTGCCAATCGTCCTGGCCCACTTCGTGTCGTGGCTCGCTCAGGCCTGCGCAATGCCTCAGTTCGAAATGGTTTGTGTCTCTGCTAAGCGTGCTCAATCGAATGCTTTATGGCACACTGAGCTGGCAAATTTCCCAGTGTAAGGGACTTTTATGGCACGGCCAGCTGTTATACTCTGCTCTGTGATGCAGCTTCCTTGTAGCCGTGCGCTCTAAAAGGGATTTTTTATTAAGTTCCTATGCTACGACTGCTGCATTGTGGCGTGGATAGGCACACCTCGTCTCTGGCATGAGCGGCTTTGCGAGCAGCAGCAGCATCAGCAGCAGAATAATGTCAAATGTTAAGCATATTATAGACAATATCACACATTCACAGTTAGCCCCGCACATAGTACACACTATTGTTTATGCGCTAAAGAGCCAATAATCCACTTTTGTTTTGTTATCATTTGCGCGCCCTTATCCAAACGCCTTAAACCACCCGAGCAACCGAGGAACCGGGCCCCGATCACCCAACCACCCGGCCAAGAGGACATCAAGCCACCCCAAACACGCTAAGCGCCTTTGCCGTCTCCACTTAATTTCTACTTGATTTGTCGCTTAAGAAAACTAATTGTCTGCCTTTTGTTGAGCGTGAAAACAATAGAAAACATTTTAGCAACTGTTACTTTAGCCGAAAGCGTATTAGAAACATGGCCAAGGCGGCGGCAGGCGGCAGGCGGGTCAGGCGGTGGAGCTAAGCACGCAGCTATGTTGCGGCTAAGGCGAGGCAAAGTGGCTGACGAAGTGGCTGGCGGCTTTAATGGTTTTGGTCTCCTTGGTCATGGCTAGCAGCTGATGGCATTCGTTTTCTGCCTCGCAGTTGGCCTACGACGCCTTCAAGGTCGTTTGCTTTAAGCGGAAATGCAAATGTAATTTTAGTGCCAAAATAGTGGCAAAAGGAAGAAGAAACAAAAGAAAAGCCCTTGAAGCTAATTGCCGCGCTTCTCAAAATTACTTTGATCTCTCGATTCTCTCGTATATATTCGATGCTTGTTTTACATGCATCGGGGGCATGGCTACAAATGCATTATAATTTAGTTTTCATTTAACAATTAGAGCTGCGTTGCAGCTGCGAGCGCAACTCACACGGAAACTCAACTCGCTCTGCATATTCATGCTCAGGCAACGCAAACAATCCGAATGCTGCTCAAGTTTGCTAACCATGTTGATTTCGCAGCCAACAATCACAAACTAACAATTGCAATGCCAGTTGCCGTTGCAGTTGCAGTTGCAATTGAGTTTTGAATTCGAAAACGCGCGTGAATATCAAATATCAACGCAAAAAACAATTCACACTCCGCACTTAAGTCAAACACGAAAAGTTATTTCGAATTAATATTGAGGAACTTTTAAATTCCATATGAAGCACATATCAAACAGCAGAGGTATAAGAAATTTTAAGAATTTACATTGAATGGAATTCAATGGCTATGATATAATATTATAATATAATATCATATGTATAATATTCATGTGTAGAAATTACCTTTGATTAATCACTTATACGAGATTATAAAATAATTCTAATTTTTTCTGTTACTTTTGTAAATATTTATTTTTAAGTATTCAATTCTTTCTTACTAGGGGTGCAATTTGTTAATTATAAATAAATCACATGCTTATTATTAAGCTTTATATATGTTTCCGGCTATTAGCAAATCTAGTATTTATTTGGAATAAGTTTGCCTTAGATATTTTTATTTATTTATTAGGTTAGAAATAATCTTAAATTAAGTCTAGCTTAACAATTAAGCTCTAGCATCCTTAAATATATTTTAATATTTTGATTGGCACACATAAATACATATGTATGTATAACTCATATGTAGATTGCCTAAATATAATATTAAATGTTAATTTAGACATTAAATTATTATAATTAAAAAAATAATCAATAAACTTGCTATTTTTTAGGGTAAGTATAATTTTTAATTTAAATTTGGGCATTAAATTACTATAACTAAATAATTATTAATTACATACAAAATGTATTCCATAAGTTGCCCAACAAAAATCGTTTTTCTATTATTTGTTATATATTTTATTCTTGAATCAACTCTAATGATTCCTCTTATTCAGCCCTTGGCCCACTGAATAAGGAGTGTAAAAAAAATATATATTTATATAAAATAAATAAATAATTGAAGAATCTATTTATAGTCTTGTACACCACTCATTAAAAGTACGTTTGCTTTCATATATACAAAAAGTCTAGAATAATTAAAAGCGCAGTTTTGGTGCAGGGTATCTGTTAGCCTGGCACTTATGAAACTCTCACACAAAATAAAATAAATATTATTTGTTAGCTACAATTTCAGTATACGAATTTAATAGAAAATAAAAGCCTTAGTAAAAGACCTGATGAAGGCGGTCGTATTTAGAATCTACATAGCTCGAAGAGAACTTTGTGAAAATAACTGTATATATATTGCTCAGAGCTTGCCTGTGCGGCTTTCATTACCCAGTTAACTGCTGCTGAGATAAGGATGTTATCGAGTTGCATTCGCTTCTGATGTTAAGCGTGCCCCGGCGAGCCCAGTGCGCCTTCATATTTAAATGCAAATGTCCTCGAAGTCCGACAATAACGATATCAACAGAGCGATATACATATTACCTACTTTGCCCAGCACACCAAAGCATACAAACTAACTGCCAAGCACACGCACACACAGAAGTACTGCTGTGTGAGTGTTAGCCGTGAGGCAAAGGACTCACGTGAGCGATTAAAATCTGAAGGAAAGTATTTGTGTTTTATTTTACTTTTATTTTATTTTTTCGCTACTTTTGCTGCTGCTGCTGCTGCAGCTGAACGAGGGTTGCTGTCGCCAGCTGAGGTGTAAATGAGCAGACCAGAGCTGAGCTGAGCTGATGCGACGTTGAAAGGGTTGCCCGGCTGCGACGCGGGCAGCGGGCAGCGGGCAGCGACAGCGACAGCGACAGCGGCAGCGGCGTGTAATTGGAGGCGAGTGTCGTGTAAAATGTAAAACTTGCGCCGTAAATAAATCAAAACTTTCTGACTGAACAAACATTCAGGTGAGCGAAAAAATGCAGCATGCGACGGCAACAGCCGCCAGCGTCAGCGTCAGCTTCAGAGCTTCAGCGACATACAGCTCCATCAAAATGCGGGCCTGAGCTAGCGAAGGTAGGGCCGGTAGGGCGGACGGGGCGGGGCAGCGCACAGTTACATATTGACAAGTACGCCCAATGGGTGGCTGTGCCGTGTACGTGTGTGTGTATGTGTCTGTGCGGGAAGGTGTGCAGCTGAAAACCGTTACACGAATGAGGCCGCTGCTAAAAAATTGGAACAGCTGCTGCCGTTGGGCCTGAGAGTTAAGGCTCTTCACCTGCAGCCGGCTGAGCAGTTGACGGCGCAGTTGACAGCGCTTTTAATTTTTTATTTTTTTGCGAAACATCAAGCTTAAATGCTGAGTAAATTAACGCTATATCTACACAGAGAGAGACAGAGAGAGAGACAGAGAGAGAGAGAGAGAGAGAAAGAGAGAGAGAGCATTACCTTTAGCAGCGAAATAGACCTCTTGAAATCACAAATGAGGTTGCATTGTCTAGAGACTTTGCTGCCTGCCGGGCCGGGGCAAACTTTATTTGCGGCCACACACTAAACGAAATGTAAATGGATCATTAATACTGCCCAGAGCACAACTACATACATACATACATATATATATCTATGGAGAGCACGAAAGTTGCAAAACTTTTGCGAATATCTTGGCAAAATGTGGCCAGCAGCAAGTCGCATTTGTTGTGGCAGCAATAATAAAATCATAAAAATATTATTATGTATAAACAGTTGCATAAAAGAGATCTTAAAACCATTTGCAGGCTTCCGCTGCTCTGCCTCTGCACCAAACTCAACTTTCTCATATCTGCAGCCGGCATTGAGGTAAAAAGAACAAACAAAAAAACTCTTGAATAAGTTGTCAGGTTTCTGGCATACCCAGCCTTAGCTATAGCTAAAGGCATATTGCTCAATAGCTAATGCTAAAATATTTGTTAAAAGAAAATCAAATTGTTTAGCAAAGAATATTAAATGACCTAGAAGTATATTTATTTAGTTCTGTTAAGAGCTTTCTAAAAACTCATTAAGGCTCAATGAGTTTTTTATGCATGAAGCTCAATCAAAATTGCTAAATATTTGTTGCAATACATATTTTATTATTTTCTATTCTTTCAGAGAATTTTTTAAATATATTTTTTTAGGGATTCATGTTTTTATTTCCTCAAATATTAATTTAGCGATTCATTCAGGGCATTCAATTAATTTTGTTATTATTATTATATTTTTTTTATTTAAATTTTATTTATTTATTATTTTTCTTTTGGAATTTCTTAAAAAATATTATTATTATTATTAATATTATATTATTATTATTCTATTTTTTTTATTTTCTTTTATTTTATTTTTTTTTTTTTTAATTTTTTATAATATATTTGTATTAGTTTTTATTATTATTATTATAAGTATTATTATTATTATTATT